GTGTGTGTGTGTGTGTGTGTGTGTGTGTGTGTGTGTGTGTGTGTAGGTGTGTACTCATAACATTAAATTAAAAGTGTGTCTTGAAGAAGAAATTATATTACATTAATCTAAGAGAAGTTTGTGGATGTTGGACCACAGGTGTGCTACTAACTGGTTTCTGTTGACTTCTTAACTGAATATGTGGCATTGCTCATGGTGCACTCTAAAAATGAAATGTTTGGTTTACTTAACCATGTTATGTGACCTGGTTCCACTTAACTGAATTGAGTAAATTCAAAGCAACATACTCTTGTTCTTTGGTTAAAAAACTGGTATATTGCTTTGAATTTACTCAACTCAATTAAGTGGAATCAGGTTACATAACATGGTTAAGTAAATCCAACATTTCTTTTTTTACAGTGTGAAATGATAAAAGATTTTGTGTGTGTGCTCAATTAAAAGTGCTGTCAGGATCCAGGTGTTGAGGCAGTTTGGTGGACAGAATCTACAGAATGAGTGCTATAACTGTTTGGAGACGTTTCTGACTCCTTTGGCATCAACCTTTGTGGTTCAAAAACTAACGCTGTCGATCCAGCTGACGTGATTATTGATGTCTAATTCTTTTATTTCCTTCTGTTCTCTGCAGTGCGCAAACAAGAAATCATCAAGATCACTGAACAGCTGATAGAGGCCATCAATAATGGAGACTTTGATGCATATGCGTGAGTCTGGGAGCTTTGTTAAATATGAAATACATCGTTTAAAACAGGGGTTCTTAACCTTTTTGACCTCGGGGCCCAATTTGTTGAACATAAAGTGGCACGAGGCCCAGTCAGACATTACCAGTGTATGGATCAAAATGATAATTATTCTAAATCTTGGTTTAATTTGTATTGCATTTGCATTATAACTAAATTAAATACACTTACAGTGTAAAAGCAAAACTCCTGTCAAATAATCACAAGACATGATTAGGACAAACATTTTTTTATATTGTAACCTGCCCATAACAGTCAACACAAAAATATTTTTTAACATAAACAATAACAAAAATATACCATTCAATAAATAAAATTGTGGTCATAAAATAAATGCATTCAAAAAGTTCCATGTAACTGTTTCAAATTAAAAAAATGTAAAGATAAATTTGCTAAAGTGCAAATGAAAATATAGGCTTTTTAAATTTTTGCTTGGTAGAACCAGAAGCTGCTCTTCATATTAGTGACAAACATTAACAGTAACAACAGCTTTTTGACAAGTTTAAAGTTTCTTTAAAATACACTCAAAATGTGTAAAAAATAAACAGCAAAAATTAATTTGATAAAGTGCAACTTAAAATATAGCTGTATTTGCAAACGTAAGTGATGATATTTAACTTTGAAAGTATTGCATGGAAGAACCAGAAGCTGCTCTTCATATTAGTGACAAACTTTGGCTTTGTTTGACTGGTTACTTTCATTTTTGCTTCTACATTTCATTTAAAATAGGTTTGTGGGTAGCTAAGGTTCTTCTTCTACGTATTAAAAAAGTTGTTAAACATCCGAGTGGTGCACTACTGCTACTAGTGGTGGGATATTGTATTGCACCTTATTCAAAATCAATGCGGCCCTGCTGCCCAAAGTTTAAAACTGTTGTTCTTTTGAGGCCCTCAAGGTGGCGCCCACGGCCCACAATTGAGCCCATGGGTTAAGAACCTTTGTTTTAAAGTTTTTGTTTTGGATTTTATTACATCCAACTTTTCTCTCCAGTAAGATCTGTGATCCTGGACTGACTTCCTTTGAACCGGAGGCGCTCGGAAACCTGGTTGAAGGGATGGACTTCCACAGATTCTACTTTGAAAACCGTAAGAAATTGTCTTTGTTTTCAGTTGATCTCAATCCGTGCCACAGCTTTGGATGCTGCACGAGATGCGTTGTTTATTCTTTGTTATTTGTCGCCTTGTCTCCAGTATTGGCCAAGAACAACAAGCCCATCCACACCACCATCCTGAACCCTCACGTCCACCTGATCGGGGAGGACGCCGCCTGCATCGCCTACATCCGCCTGACTCAGTTCGTGGACAATCAGGGTCAGCCGCGGTCCAGCCAGTCGGAGGAGACTCGCGTCTGGCATCGCAGAGACAGCAAGTGGCAGAACATCCACTTCCACTGCTCAGGTGCTCCAGCTGCACCTCTCCAGTGAGGTATGTTCCTCTGGTGTGTCTCAGAAAATCGTTTGTTGTATTGAAATTTGGAATGTCCCAGTCCCCAATTGTCAAGTTTTTTAATCAATAGGAAATGATTTTAACTTGGATACTGAACATTCACTCCCAACAGAAAGATCTTGAAAATAAAAGTTCTAGTTATAACTGCTGGATCAAATTAACCATCAGAGCTTCTTATTTTAAGAGATTTTTCTAAAAGTGCTAAATAAAACTGCTACTTTGGTGTTTTGGTGTCTACTCTTTTTCTCACTGTTTACTAATTTGCAGTGGTGGGCACAGTTAACAAAAAAGTTAACTTCACTAACCTCTAAACCGCTGACCAAGAATCTTAGTTTCACTAACGCTAAAATGCTAAACAGGTTAAATATGAGTGGAAGCTAACGCTAATCGCTAAGACGACTGTCACTCAGCCACATCTTCATCTTTTTTCATTTGAAGTTTTTTATTGGTTTATTTTGAAGGTGGGCGGGATCTTTTGTGGCAAATCGGCTAATCCAAACCAGTTATACTGTAGCTCTGCTTAACTTGTCAGTCTGTTTATCCCTTTCAGAATAAAAGTTTTTTATATAGTTTGTATTTTAATAAACACTGTTTGAAGTTAGGCAAACAACAAGTAGCAAATACTTCCTCTACTATATTT